CGCCGCATATTCCTTATTTGCCTTGAGAAAAACATCAGCAGATGTCCACGAATACGATTCCCAAAGCCCTAGACCCCTGAGTAGGCACCCCTTCATAGGGTGTAGGGCATTTGGGTCTAGAGTTCCGGAGTGAAGGTTAAGGGGTTTAGGGCTCGGGGTTTAGGCTGGAGGGTTGAGGCCTTCCATGCCAGCCCCATAAGTCACGGGGTCTACTGGGAGATCCTGATGAAGTACTATGGAAACTAACCACCTGTAGATGGCGTCAGCCAGCCCGAGAAACCTAACCCTTAAATTAGCCCTAATCACGGAACAATGAGCCTCTAATCTCAATCCCTACATCTTCAAGAATTCTTCAACCCCAACCCCTTTACCTCAGAGACGCCCTAAACCCCAATGCCTGATGTCTCAGCCCTGACATGTCTAAACCAGGAACCCTAATCCCTCCTCCTCTCCCGCCCCCGAACGCCGCCTAAACCCTAAACCCTAAACACCGAAACCCCTGTACCCTGGGCCCTAAACCTCTAAACCCTAAGCCTAAACCCAAAATCCCTAAACCTTACACCCTAAAGAAAGCCCTAAACCCTAGACTCACCCTAATCCCGCCTAATGAGGGAGGTACAATCCCTTGGACAACTCGGCGAACTCCAGACCAAACGGCAGCGGACGATTTGCACGATCAAGGACATGATATGGTAGAAGGGTCTTGGATGTAGGGTTTTGGGTCTCAGGGCAATCCCCAAATTTCTGAGAACCTTCCCCATATAATCTAACATATACTTCACAAGAGGAGCCCTATAGCCTTCGTAGCTGTTATTATCTCCCTGACACTCCCAGTTACATGCCCAAACTGCTACTCGGAGGCTCTGCGGACTGAGGTTATACATGGGGTTCTTAATCCTCGAATGGGGTCACTACAAACCCTAAACCCTACATAACCCCACGATAGTAGTTTCCATTTTCCTTTTTACTTTTTCCATTATCCCAATATTACCCTAATGTATGTACCCTTTTATACTATAGTAGTTTCGCCTTTATTTTCCATTATCCCTACTAAAGAAAAACACTATCCTTCTTTCAACCCCCTTACTAAGCTACTTACTGCATCCCTCGAGCCTCGATTGGGTTTAGGGTTTAAAGTTTAGGGTTTTGGTTTAGGGTTTAGGGTGAGTCCCCCTTAAGTAGATAGAATATGGCTTTAGGTAAATTCTCATAAAATCCCCATATATTACACCATATTCTATCTACTTAAGGAGGACTATAGGGCTCCAGAATCGAGAGATTGCAACACAGTGGCCCATGGTTAGGGAAGCTCCTGCAGAAAACTCGTAGAATCATTCAAGGCTCATAGAAACAGGATTTGGTAGTTTCCCTAAATTAGGGTACCCCAATATGGACCCCAATATACTATAATCCTTATAATGGGGACCCCCAAAAAGGTACCCCTAATTTTGGGGCACCCCGATTTAGGGCTCAGTGTTCAGGGGCCGATAGCGAGAATTGAGGGACTAAGCGGTTCGACTTGAGCTCAGGATTACCATTTACGGCGTGGAGCACTCCGCTGTTACGAGCATTGCGATATTTGTCACTACCATGGGTTTTCTGCTCCTCGCGCAACTGCTTTTCCTTTGACAGTTCTTTACACCATTGTTCTGCCATTGTTCTTGAGATTGCTACGAAGAGAACGCTTTCAGGACCCTCACGGGCCCCGCGCGCAGCACCCGCGTGGGCCCACGTACAACGAAAGTACTTCAGATCTCACGGATGGACCCACACAGCCCGGATCCACGCGGGACCCGCAGGACCCGCCAAGAATTTGTAGAACCGACGCAACCCCCTTCAATCTGCGCATAGCAAAAGCACGATCTGGGTAAGTCTGCTACCGCCAATAAAGTAAGGAGACGAACTACAGACCTCCGCGATACGATTGCTGGAGGCAATGTGCCTGATGGATGCAGAAATGAGGACGCCAGAATATACATAGGAAGTATGACTGGACTATAGAGCCCATAGAAAAAACATGTGCGGGGGGTAAATGTGATAGCTACGCAATGAAGAAAATCTACATTTCCCTTATGATCCTGCTGATACTGCCACGAGGTTGGGACTCAAGGTTTAAGGCCCCCATCTAGCCTTGACGAGCAAGTGCACCTTCTCGACATGCAAACGGGTGTCTTTCACTCTAAAATGTGGGTTCAGAACTCGTACCAGGCCTCGAACGCGCATTCTCTAGAGGCCGAAACAGTTCCACACACCCACTATAGCTTAGGGTTGAGGATTTAGTTCTTGGGGCATGTGATCCCTGTAAAATTCCTATATCACATCTATAAAAACCATTAGCAACCCCAACAGACTTCAACTCTAAACCCAAAACCCTAAACCCCAAGGCTCCACAAGGTCCCAGAAATCTCCTAACATGAAGGCCCCCCTTTACATGGAGTCCCCTTTAGGGCTTCTGCTTCCTTAATTCATGGTCATTACCCTAAACCCTAAACCCTAAATCCTAAGCCCTAAACCCGAAATCTTAAGCCCCAAAGCTTATTAACCCTAAACCCTAAACCCTAGATCTTAAACCCCAAACCTTATAAACCCTAAATCCTAAACCTCATACCCTGAACCCCGAAGATTCGGACTTTTGCATCTTTTGCCTTCTCAGATCGCTTCTGCTGAGAACTTCGGCCCCTCCCTCGTGACACGCACTCTTCAGGCTCGGGCTCCGTGCCTCAGCGCCATTCTCGGGGTTGAGGGTTTTTGGTTGTTGGTTTGGGTCTTTTGTTTTTTTGGTATAGGGCTAGGATTTTTGGTTTAGGGTCTAGGGTTCTTGGTTTAGTTTTTTTTGGTCCTTGGTTTAGGATTTCGGGTCTAGTGTTTCTGGTTTAGGGTTTTGGTTCAGGGTTTAGGGCTGCGAGGGTTTTGAATGAGCATGGAGGGTCTTGGGTGCTTGCACCCCAAGTATAACTATAAGCAGAAAGGCGACTTCGGGGACTTGAAGTTGGGAGAAAGGCGAAGGAGATGAAGGACTGCTGCCTTAGTGATTAGGGTTTAAGGTTTAGGGTTCAGGGTATGGGGGTCTGGTAGCAAACACCCCTGCCCAAAGCAAACAAGGCAACCCACATGAGCCAATTGTTAAATCAATGGTACACTTTGCAGGTTTCATGTTCTTGTGGGAGGGTAAGCAATGGGTTTTTGTTGGAGCCAAACCCTAAGCCCCAAATACATATGGAACCTGACTTGGCCCTACATAAATAAGGTAAGCAGCGGTCCAGCTAAAACGTGCTTGCCTCTTGGATCTGTTGTAAATCCTTGTGGCTACACCTCGATAAATATTCAAAAATACTTCATAAGTGATAGGAATTATGGGTCCACCTTAGTGCAGGGAAAGCACGCCTTAAATGCTCGAGCTGTTTCGAACTGGCGCCTGAAGGTGTCTCATCCTACAGGAATAAGAAGCGGATTTGGTAATCCCAACCTCCAATGAAGGACCGCGGTTTAGGCATTTAGGGTCCTCCTTTTCTTTTGTGAGGTGGGGGGCGGGGGTGGGGGGCGGGGGTGGGGGGGGGGATGGGGCGGGATGGGCGGTTGGGGGGGGGTTTGGGGGGGGAGGGTGGGGGCTGAAGGATGAGCCTTGCTGAGCCTTTGAGCGCAAAGCGATGCCTGACAATTCAAGGTTCAGGGTTTTTAGTCCCGCTTAAGTAGATAGAGTATGGGATATATGGGGATCTTATTCTAATATACCCAAAGCCATAGTCTATCTACTTAAGGGGGATTGTAGGGACAACAAGAACAATCATGATTCTGACCAGAGACCACGACCGGAAAATAGAATCTTACCCTAAAATTTTGCGAGAAAACGTATGCATCTGAAATACTTGCCACTTGCCGGAGAGCCTCCTGCGCCATTCTAATTACTTGGTAGTTGACGAGACTCGGAAAGCACTATGACTGGGGGTGTCTCAACGAAAAGAGGGGCCCCTAGGGACCCTGAAAACCTACAGGATTGCAAGAGGACTCATCAAGCATTTTATCAAGGTGTTTTGAGCAACTCCAATTTCGAGAACTGCTACTCAAGATACTAAACTGGTTTCAACTGTATATTTACAACGACCAAACGCGGTAACTTCTTTGGCCCCGGCTAAACCCCCGGCCCCGCCCCCGTCCCCGGACCCCGCAGCCACCGCGGCCGACACGGCCACCGCGGCCGATAGGGCCACCGCGCCCGCCTGGCACATCAGCTCCGGGATTAGGGTTTAGGGATTTAGGATCACGGTTTCGGACTCAAAGTTTCGGGAATGGAGTTGAAATTAAAGGGCATATAGGGTTGTTTAGGATAGGGGCTGTATGGGCATTCCAATGCATGGTGTTCGGTTGAGGGTTTGTCTACTTGTTTTTGGATCCCTCAACACTGACCCCTAAACCCCTATCCAGAAAACTCGAACCCCGAATCTCGCAGCACTGAACCTTTCACTGGGGGGTGGGTTCTTTATTGTAACTTTTTCACTGTGGCATTTGCGGTTGAAGGTCGGGGGGCTGTGGATCAAAGGTCTTCGATGGCCTCAAGGTTGAGGGTTTAGGGTGAAAGGTTTCCCCATATAACTCCAATGTAGCCCGATATGGATCCCGAATGCCCCCAGAGTTGCCAAAAGAGTCGTTTTAAAGGATGGGCTCTAGGGATTCATAGGTGTGCGCGCTTCAGGGTTAAGTCTATAAGCCCTAAACCGAGTGGGCTTTGGTTCCACCTGCAGATTTAGGGACCACGCTTTACTTGTCGGTTGTTTGGGGGGAGTGAGTATTTTAGGGTTTAGGGTTTAGGGCAGTGGGTGACTGAATGCAAAGAACTATCCTAAAATCCTCTCCACACCTACCTCTATTATGCTGCCCATCTGCACTTCCCCACTCCCCCTTAAGCACACCGAACCCCAAACCCTAAAGCCTAAACCCCAAACCTGAAACCCCAATCCCTAAACACAAAATAGTAGTTACCGTGTTCGTTTCCGCTTCCCAGCCTCGTCCTCCGCGTTCACCATCTTTCTGACCAAGCCTAGTTGCTCGGGGACTGGAAAAGAAAATGGAAACTACTATATAGAGTTTAGGGTTTAGGGCTTAGGGTTTAGGATTTAGGGTTTAGGGTTTGGGGGGTGGGGTTCGGAATTGACAAGAACATGGACATTACTATAAGAGGGAACGAAATGGAGAAGAACATGGACATGGAAACTGGAGTTAATACGGGGTATATAGGAGCTACTCAAGACCAGGTGGTCTGGGGTCTGGGGCTTAGAGTGTAACTAGTAGGGTGTACAGTTAAAGAGCTTAGCGTTTAGATGTCCGGTCAGTACAGCCTTTTTCGACCTGTCCTCATAACCCAGTTACAGACCCTGAGCCCTTTAACAAGGCTAAACCCTAAATCCCAAACCCTAAACCCTAATTGAAGCTACAAGTTTCGAGTGCATTGCCCTGCAATCACGGGGGCCCGCTCTCATCGGCTTTAGGTTGAGGGCATCTACTTGGAGGTTAATGTATATGTGAACCCCACGTATACACAAAGTAACAACCCAGTTGTAGCCATATCTGGGGTCCTGTGTTACTAGGTTTGAAGTCCACTCATTAGTAGGTCATGGTTACCCTGAAGGTCTAAGTAGGGTCCCTATTTTGGCGGGCCCCCGCAACGAGGGATCCATATTTCTGAGTGAAGGAGGAAACCTGATTCAAAGAGCATGGGCACATGAAAGAAGATGGAAACCATTACAATAGAAGGGAGCATGGCTATTACAGGGTCCAACCTTCCCTTCCCTACTACAAGTAACGAGCAGCAAGTCGAATGTGGGGTTGCACATGTAGCCCTGAACCCTAAGTCCCAAAGGTGGAGATGTTAGGGCTCAGAGCCAAAAAGGCACACCAGGGTTCTTAAGTATCTTCAGGAATGAGGTGTAGGGCACCTAGGCTTGGGCTGGAACGCTGAGCAGAGCCCTACACCCCTAAACCCCAAACCTGAAGCAGGTCACCTTCCAGAAAACTCGAAGCCAGCTCGTTCGCAGTGCGGCTTTGACTGCTCGTGCCTGAAGCAAGAGCATGGTTTTTTTCTCAAATTTGGGGGCACCAAGAAACCATTGGGATGTTGGGGAGAGTTCTGAGATATACTGTGGATGGAGGCAATCTTGCACCACTTAGGATGCAGCGCAAGGATTTGGGCTGCTTTTGGGTTTGAGGATTTGGTGCTTAGGGTTCAGTTACTAAGGCGAATCAAATGGAAAAGAACCTCCTCTCAAGGAATGGAAACTGCGCGCGTGTAGGGTTATATGGGGACTGAAGGAAGACAAAGAAAGTGTGCACGATCTGGCTATGTAATGGAAAGTTGGGTTTGCTTATATGGCAACCTAAGCTAAATTCATTAACAACCACCCAATTTTGCTCTAGCGGCCTTCGTCAGATATGAGAACTCGAGTCATTAGGGGTCCTTGTTTGGGTTCCCCGCAAGGAAGGATTGTGGTCTAACCCCCTAGTATCCGCCTGAATAAGCCTTATAATAGTCCCTTATAGAATCCCCTATATAACTCCCTTTTAAGGAGTTTAGACCCCAATCCCTAAACCTATAGAACTCCCTATATAACCTCGTTTAAGGAGTCTAGACTATAGCTCATATGAGAGAGTTCTATTGAAATCTAAGGAAAGGCGAGGCATAGACCCGGAGGAACCTGTAGGATGTACCTCATTAATAGGGATAATATAGGGTACTATAGGGGTTATATCCAGTAGGGTTTAGGGTTTGGGAAAGGGTACTATAGAGGTCATACAGGGATAATGGAGAATCAAATGGAAATCATATGGAAAATGAAATGGGGAACCCTGTGGGGCCCTAAACGCTAAATCCTATATCCTGCATGATCATAGGTGTACTTAACCTTTTAAGTCATGGCATTTTAGTTATGTAAAGCACGCAGGATTCTCAGCAGCAAGGGTAGGAAACTGAAACGCTCCGTAACTGAAAACTGATCTATGTTTGTAACAACCCTTGAGCTTCGAAGTTTCGCTCTGCCGTCTCATTCCCCAAAGCTCAAGGGGATTCTAGTTACCCTAACCCCAACACTCAAGACCCTAAACCCTAACCCCAACTAGCATATAACTACAATGGGGTCCTAAGTTTGGGAGCTTGGGTAAGTGGAACCCTCGCATTATGAACCCCAAAAAATAAAGCCTCTCGCGTGCGAGTTGCTCGAAAATGCCACAACATGTGTGAAAGTTTGCGATGCAGGCTCGAGCAGCACTAGCTTTTTGCGGGTCCGTTTTCCGCGTTCACGTCAGTTTGGGGGAGAATATGGTTGAGGGTGCAAAGCTAATAAACCAAATGCCTTGTGCTTGCAATTAGAGACTGGAGGAATGCATCCCTATTGTAGGAAATGCATTTATCCAAAACCCATTACATTTTTCCATGTGGATTTGCAATCCCTGTGGCCCCCACGAACATCCAGCGAGATTGAGGTCCCTGCTCAATCATCTGATCTTTGGACGTGAAGGCCTGCGCACGCACCGCAGCCCTACAAGTACGCAGCTGCAAAACCCATGAAGCCATACTGCCTAAGCGCCCTAATACTGTTGTAACTGGGTTAGAACTACAGAATTCTCTGCTTGGGTTGTGATTACCCGGGAACCTCCCAGTGGATACGCACTGCCTCAACATTGCAATGAAAATCCTGAGACGACACGAAGCCATTGCAAAGTTGCGGCTCTGGCCATGCGCATGAACCTCACTAGTCCGCCCAAAATCGGAAGCGATTCAACTATCACCGTCATGGAATGTGATCGAATAACGTCGACTTACGCATTATCAAAATCAGGATATTATAAGTGTAGTCACCACAATCATGATGCTGAACCCTAAACCCTATACCCTAAACCCTAATCCTTGCTCAACGCTTAACCCTGACTTCTAGGTCCCCCATTACGAGTAAGCCCCAGGTCAATCGTCGCGATCTTCATGATCAGTAGGTGTCGGGCGATTCCCATCTACTGATCAGAATCGTTCCTGAGCCACCTAGTATGCGGTTAGGGTTTAGGGTTTATAATGCTCATAACGGGAATTTAAATAAATACTCGTGAGCCTCCAAGTAGAACATCTATACCCCAAAGCCCAAAGCCTTTGTTGCAGGAAGCCCCCAAAAATTGCGACCTTATGAGCCAGTGTCTAAACTCCTAGTATCCCCCTCAATAGCCCCGATAATACTCCGTATATGACCCCCTATATAATCCCCTTCCAAGGACTAAACCCTTACCCTAAACTCTGTTTAGACTATAGCTCTTATGTTTGTCAGGAACCCTAAGCAGGAAGCTCGAAGCAGCAGCTGAGCGGGGCATGTGGTTCTACAATCTCCCATGGCTTATCAGCGGTTTAGGGTTTAGGGGTAGCTTGCTGGGCTTGCTGGTTATTCAGGGTGAACCGATGTGCTACAGGCGACCCACCCCTTGTTGCAGCAAAACTCCCTGTCTTGAATGGATTCATGTCAAGGGCTTAAGCAAATTCAGCATAAGACAGAAATGCAGTGAAACAGTGTAGCTTCCCTGCGAGGAAATCCTAAGCCCTAAACCTTGGGTACTTCCCCCCCCCCCCCAGTAACAGCCTATAGTAGGGGTCCTATTAAGGGCTAAGTATAACCATATTATACTGATTATCCAGCTGCTACTGCGGGGAGGCATAAACCCTAAATTCTCATTCCTGACCCTCACTCCAGCCCTCGAACTCCGAAACCCAAACGCCCAAGCCCTGAACCCCAAGCTGGGTTATGAAGCAGTAGGCACAGTAAGGAAATCGCTTCATGTACTACTGCATCTATAACATGATGACTCTATCCAGGTTGCCTGGATCTTTACATAGGCCGTGCTGTACCCCGTTTCTTTTTGTTTCCCATTTGCTTCTCTACTATGGCAAGGTAATCCCTAAACCCTACCCCCTAAACTAGAAACAAAAATCAAACACCCTAAACCTTCAAGCCTACACTGTAAACCCTATACCCTTACCCCCGGAACCCTGCAGCCTGAACCCTGGACCCTAAACCCTCAACCCTACTCAGTGTGCCTTGCAGCAGACGTCACACCAGAAGTTGAAGCCAGCCCATCGGGCCACGCTGGCATCTGTGAGATGCCAAAAATGGCACCTGGGCTTAGGGCTTCTTAAGGTTTGTAAGCCTTAGGGTTGAGGAGCTTTAAGTTTAAGGTTTAGGGATTTGGGATTACGGGTTAAGGGCTTAGGGTGTAGGATTTGGGGTTTAGGGATTTAGGCGTTCGGGGTCAAGGCCATAGGGTCAAGCAATGAATTTTGAACGCAGGGCTAGGGTTTTGGGTTGAGAGTCTTGGGGCCCAGAAATGACACCTAGCAATTTAGAGTTCAGGGTTCTACGGTTTTGAGGTTCTACTTGGAGGCCCTTGGGAGTTCTGGCCTACTTATGGCTGAAGTATCCTGAATCTGTAACCCAAGTATAGCAATATATTAAGTGGACTTCAGAAGCTCATAGTTGGTTCGTAGAAAAGCTGATGTCCGCCCCTGGTATCAAAATAGTACCATTGACAACGAGCTTTTGCGGCATCATCCCTACAAGGCAAGGACCCCAAAACTCTAGTGGCAGCAATTGTAGGGTTTAAGGCTTAGGGTTTAGGGCTTAGATTTAGGGTTTTGCATGTTTTGATAAACCGTAACCCCAAAAGCTAGACACTCCTGAGCTCGGGTAAGGTGCACGCTTTCCTGGCGGCCGCTTGCATCCACCACGCCTGAGCGGAGCAGCTGTTCAGAATCCGCGTTTCGGATTTAGCGTCTAGGGTTATGGGTTTAGGGGGGGTTTAGGGTTTGGGGTTTAGGGGGTTTAGGGGGTTTTGGGTTTAGGGTTTGGGGGTTTCGGGTTTAGGTGTAGGGATCAAGGTTGAGAGCTTGGAGTTTCTAGGTCCAGAGTTTGGGGGCGTCCGACTATAGATGAAAACGCACCTACCCTGCATACTGCCCCCCCAAATACCCCCTAAACCCCGAACCCTACACCCTACCTAAACTCTAGACCCTACCTAAACCCCAAACGTATGTAAAACAATAGCCCTAAGCCCATAATAACAGTCAAAAAGGCCATTATTTTACGTACTTTTGGGGTCCAGGTACACCCAACCAAAACCTCCAAGCTCCAAACACCCAGTCCTAGCCCTACCCACGAATACCGAAGATACTTTAGGGTTTAGGGTTTAGGGTTTAGGAAGACCCTAGTGAAAAGACAACTGTAACTCCGAAGGTAAGAGGTGCTTGTGGTGATGCAGGATTTTCAGTATCCACCGTAACACTGTTCCCTTCCCCCGGCCCTACCAACTTACGTTTCGTTTCTTAAACCCCGAACCCCACAACCTCAGCTTCTACCTGGCTCTGAAACCCTTCCAAAAGCTAGAACCGTACAGCAGTTAAGGTTTGGTGATTTCATTCAAAATTTGGAGACATGCGCTCCAAATTCTAGATTATACTTGCTAGCTAGTGGCACAAGAATTGGGACCCTGGCGTTGGAAAGTACTACGTAGTGTCAAGAGCCCCAAATCCATGGATTTGCTGGCTGCTGGTAGGAACCCATAAGGGTCCAAGGACTCAAATAATAGGGTTTTTAGGGCCCAAATATTATGATATTAATGGTATTTGGGCCCTAAAGCCCTATCATTTGGGTCCTTGGACCCTTAGGGAATGGATCCTTATAGCGGCCCAAGAATGCAACAGCTTTCATTGTCCTCATATACACACACATATATATATATATAAATACATATATATATATATGTACATATGTATCCTTATAAGCCGCCAGTTCCCATTTGATGCTCAATTTGCTGTTCCGTTCCCAGCCTAAACCTCCTGGACCCTAATATCCAGCTACGATAAACCCTGAACACTACAATCTGCGGCCAATTTGCAATCCAACTCCTTTACGTCGAGGCCCTCGGGCGGCGGCACAGTAATCGCTGCAGCGATGGCTGCTCTGGCCTTTGAACAACCCACCCGGTTCAGGGTTGTAGTGTTCATTGGGTGAGGGCTTTGCGGTTTGGATTTGAGGGTTGTAAATGGGGGGAGTAGAGGATTTGAGACGGCAGGGTTAAGGGTTAAGGGTCTTAGGGTAGGGATGAGAATTATTAGATACTCAGTCAGCTGTCTACATGACACTCTAGACACAAAACCCTAAACCCTAAATCTTGAACCCAAAACCTAAGTTCAACACCCTAAAGCCGTATACACCAAATTCCAAACTCTATATTTCAAACCATAAAACCATACCCATAAGCCCCGAACCCCCAACCCTAACATCTGAGCCTTCAACCTCACCCGCAGACCCTGGACCCTCAACCCTAAACCTATATACATATAAACAACAAAGAACAAATCTTACTGACATGTAGTGTATAGGGCAAATCTGACTTGTGTATAAGGCAAATCTTACTTTAACTTAGAGAATGTTGATTATGTATGAGGTAAAACGACTTGTCTACAAAGTAAATCTTTTATGTGTGTCTTTAAAGCCAACGCTACTGGGGTAGAATGCAAATTTGACCTTAACACGAAGGTCAACAGTCTTCCGCCACTCAGCAAACTGGGTAGATCTACTTGTGCATTTTGCAAACCACGTGCGTATGAGGTAAATCCACGTGTGTATCAGGCAAATCTGATTTGTGTATCAGGCGAATCCTACTCGTGTATAAGGGGCCTCCCAGAAGCTTTTAAAGCGCCTCGCAGGGGCCTCCTATATGAGCTGTAGTCTAAACTCCTAGTATCCCCCTTAATAAGCGCTATCATAGTCCCCTATATAATCCCCAATATAACCCCCCTCAAGGAGTTCAGACTATAGTACATAGAAGGCTCTCAAGGGAGGGACTGTTGGGCCTTTGGGTTGGTTCCAAGGTGTGATCCTCTCTATGGTTTTGGGTGTCAAGCTGGGTCACCTCCAGGGCTGTGGGTGCCGTATGTTTGGACATCACAGAATGATCTTGACTGTCGCAGCATGAACTCCCAGAGTTCTGGACGTCATGGTGTGATCCCTCCAGGGAGTTAGGTGTCGCAGTGTCGTTGATCTTCCCATATACCTGTTTCGAAAAACGATGAGTGAGTGTGTGAGAGCATTTTCCAAGCTGCGAAATCGATGTCTTCTGCTTAAAACATAAAACATGCTGTTTTTCTCAGTAGATGGCGGTTTAGCAGAAACATAATAATGAGGGAGTATGAGACCATGCTGTTTTTCAGGCCGTGTAGACACGATGCCGTGAGACGCAAGAGAGTGGAGCCACCAAAGCAGAAAACAATGTATGTTCTTGATGTTAGGAGATTCTATGGGCAAGTGGGTAGTGCTGCATGTTTCAACCTTGTTGCTAAACTAGAGAACGCTTGTACTTGAGATGCTGAACCCCAAGATAAACCCTAAACCCTCAACCTCTTTGTCCGGAACCCGGACCTTCAAGAGGCTATGAAAAAAGCTTGAGTCCGTCCATCGTCCGTACTTTGAATTTACTGAAAGTTCTTGCATCATGGCTATCTATTTAAGCCCATGCTTCAATTTACGTTGACGAGTGCGTGCTGCGTAGGCCTAGGGTCTAGGTTTAAGGTTTCCATTTACGGTCTAGAACTCCACACAACTGAGGGTTTTAAGCGTACGACTTTAAGCTTAAGGTTGAATGAAGCTTACAGTTCAAGTTCAAGGTTTTGTTTAGGGTTTGCATGTAGAGTTATTAGGTGTAGATTTTGAGATTGAATTTTTAAGGGATCAAGTGAAGGGTTTGGGTATAGGGTTTATAGGGCTCAGGGTGTAAGTTGAATGTTTCAGTTTAGGGCTTAAGCTTCGATGATGTAAATTAAGGGTTTAAGTTGGTTTGCGTTTAATTGGGGCTAAGCGTTTGTAAGGTTCAGGGTTTAGGGTTAGGGTTTCAGTCGCCGGGGTTGTTCACCGTGCGCGGTTCACCGTGCCTGCAGCATGTTCATCGTGCCCTGTTGACCGTCCCCTCCAACACCCCTGCACCCACGAGCTCCTGACTGGTTCGGCTTTGTATCAATCCCGTACTTCTGACAGCCGGTATTTTGCAGTGCCCATGCCTGTCCACCTGGGGCAACCTTGATCCGGGATGCTTCGTCATGTGCATGCCTTCGCTGCTTTTGCGCTGGCATTCCTATTTGTTTAGGTGAGGTGCTGCGGCGGAGGAAGTCCTGCGTCCCAGCAGGGTTTCCCAATCGGGCTTGAGTAGGATGGTGCTCCGCTGCTGTCTCAAAAGAGGCTGTTGCTCTGGGTTTGGGTGCCTCTTTGTCTGTGGCGCGTGAAGCTCTGTTAGCATTTCTTCTCAACGCTTGGGGCTTATGCGGCTTGGATGTGATCTTCCAGGATACAAGCCCTGCTCAGTCCCAGAGCTGCGCTTCAAGCATACCAACGGGACTTGCAATACTGTAAGCCGCATTTAAGCACGGTTCCGCCTATTCCCTATACGTGTTCACTAAACCTTGGTCGCTAAGGGTTACTTGCCCACTTCCCTGCAGGACAGGTATTGCTAACCTTTGTTAGGGTATAATTGCCAACCCATACATAGGGTATTTCAAGCTCTGGTTGGGCTTTGGAAGGGGTATGGTAAATGCTGAGTATGGCATCTGACTGCCAACAAACTATAATTCCAAAAATGGCACATGTGACTGCCCTAAAACCGAGACTGACAAAATAACATAACAAGAGGCAAACCAAAACAAACTAAAGTAGTTATAATACACTCACAGAAACCTCTCAAAATTGTACACACTCTAGAATTCAAAGCAGACTCACCACACTCAAACAAACCCAACAACAAATCCGAAAACTCGGGCAAAACTCGGCGAAGCTCTTTGCAAAAACACAGTTTACCAATGAACACGACGCAGGAAGAATCAACCCTGCACCCTATAAACCCTGAACCGAAACCCAAAAACCTAAACCCTAAACCCTATAAACCCTAAACCCCATAAACCCTAAACCCTAAACCCCAAACCCTAAACCCCAAACCCTAAACGTCAACCTCTAGTCCCACCCCCTAGGCCTTTGGAAGCAGCTCGGCTACTTCGTCCACGCGCTGGCAAAGAGCGTCGATCTCTGCCTGAGGCCAGTGTTACGGCAGTTTAGGGCTTCAGGGTTTAGGGCTGAGGGCTCAGAGTTTAGGTTGTTGGGCTTCTAGGGTTTAGGGTTGAGATTTAGGGACTAGTGCTTGTAAGGTTTGTGTCGTTTTGGGATTCCGTTTGAGTTGGAATTTAAGGTTGAGATCGGCTCAGGGTTCAGGGTCCATTATTCCTTCATGGGTTGCCATACCACCCTATAATTACTCACCGCGGCAGGTTCCCTCCAAAGCACACTTAGTTCGCCTCAGACTTAACTATCCCTAAGGGTCTTAGAACATAATAATCATATACTTGCCCAAAACCTGTACTATAATTACTATTAGCCAAAACCCAAGTACCAAATTATTGGGTACATGGACCCTCTGGGTATCCTTGAATGACCCCGACTTGGGGGAGAATCTAGGGGGGTAGGACGGGTGACGGTGCAGGGGAACCCGTGTTGTTAAGGGATAGTGGCATCCGGTTATATAGGGGATTATATGGGGGACTGCTATCTAATATAGGGTTTAGGGTTTAGGGGCTTAATGTTCAGGGTTTATAAGGCTTAGGGGAGTTTAGGGGAGTATAAGGGGGTTCTGGAATCCCTATGAAGAAGCGGTGGAGAATAAACACCACTTCCGGTCCCACGTTTAGGTTT